TCTTCCTGCCATCTGTGACAGAGTCCTTGGGTAGAGCAGCATCATCTGGGGTCATGCTCTGTCTCCGCAGCCATGTCACAAACATGACTGGAAAATCATCTCTCATGTGGCTATGGACACAGGAAAATGAGAATGGACCATGATCCTCACACAGCTTTCCATTTCACCTCTGCTAATAAGAGCCTGGGATTTTTAACTTCTTCCTAGAAAGGTTTATTGATATCACTGTGACTTCTGGGATGATAAAATGCTTAAACACCCACATAAATGTCAAAGAAGGTGTAGGGTCTCAGCACTGTACTCTAATACCTTGCATCTGAGAGGAGTTGCACTCACACCTGCAACTTTAAGGCCTCCTACAAGGACAGTATATAAAGTTACACTGCAAAAACAGAGCCCAGAAGACTTGCATCTTCCTTATGGCAAGCAATGAACCCTCTTCCTAGGATGGATTCCTTTATTCTCCAAGCAACCCTTGCCCAGGGCAATGAATCTCAGTGCCAGAGACTGAAGATTTATTAGAGCAATTGTTTGGACTCTCAGGAGTCAGTTACTGGCAGCCATAGGATGCTCCTGCCCTGTCTCACTGCCTGGGTGACCAGCATACCAGAGTCATACTCAGGCAAAACAAATTTGCGTCTTCTGTTAATGGGTAGCACGGTCATCTGACTTCCATCTTGCTTCTAGTATAATTTAAGCAATACCTATTTATTTAAGCAATATTGATTTAAGGCTCAAGTAACCCGCTGATAGGTTTTATGGGCTCTTGCTTTCCATCCAGAATTTAATAGAAACAGCTCCACTTAAATCTGAAGAAAGGCACTGAAGGATAACCAGTGCAACAGAAAGATGCTGGGATGTTTTCACATCTCCCAGATGGCCCATCTAATAATAATAATAACAATAATAATAGTAGCCATAACAATGAAATATTGTAATAGCTCACAGAAAGCTTTCACAGTCACATTAATAATGCTGCTTTTGTCTATAAACTTCTCAAAGTGCAGGTGGCTTAACAAGGAGAACCTCACCACAATGTAAAAAGATAGTAGTAATAAGATCATTATTTTAAGAAGGTATTCGTATCCTTTTCTCCTATAGATAACAGCATTTTATTCTGAGCTTGTTAGCACAAAAATGTTAGGAATTAACTTCAGCTGCTCTGAAGGTTGATTAAACACCAGACTAAGCATTGGGAAACCGATGAAAGTCTTCTGTGTCACAAAAGTGGTCACAAGAGACAGATCAGTCCACCAGTCAGCGCCACAGACCAGACATCTTTCAGAAGAGCCCAACTGAATTTTCTGGATTTCCAAAAAAAACCAAAACAACAACTTAAAGGAGTTTGTTCCTTCTTTCGGAGTTCAGTAAACAAAGAAAATTATTAAATACAGCATATATGTATATAACACTGTGCCATCTTAATCAGGGGTAACTAAAAACATCAGGGAGAGTGCAATTCTGAAGACCCATGAATACATCAGAGTTTCTGTTGTGCTCTGCCTGGAGCTGACCTTGCTGCACTGGGAGAGAATTTTTGTTCTCACCCATTTCCACTCCAAGGTTCTGCACACCAGAGAATTTTGTCTATGAGGCAGCTGCCACCTTCCTCATTGCTCTGCTTGCATGACATGAAGTTGTCCACAAAAGCAGCATGGTCTGCCTTCGCCATCAGAGCTTTTGCTTCTACAATAGGAAATACATGATTGTTGCAGCAGATACATTTCTGTACCAGAAGCCTTAGAAAAACAAAGGATTCATTCACATGCAGAAGCCTCCAGCCTTGAAAAATGAGGAAATCAACAGAACTCGGCATCCGTCCGACCTCCTACCAGAGTTATTTCCTTCAATGCCCACTGTATTTTATATGATGCTCCTGAATATCATTAAAGAGGCTATTGAAATACTACTATTTCTGAAATTCCTTTTGTTTTCTAGCTGGAAATTCTCTATGGGAAGCTTTTGATAAAGAGTAAAATGTAATTATAGTGATTAATTTAAATAAACTCTAAACAACACAGACTCTTCATACGGGTTTTGCAGAGCCTTGGCATAAATGAATGCTAATGGAGTCATATGCATTTCTCTCCCTGCCTTGTTCACCTCAATTTTGTTATTTTGGATAATACACCTCTCAAGCAACAATTGTAGCACAGGTGCTGAGAGAGCAGACCCCAGAAATTTCAAATGGGGAAAATTTGGGAGTGAACAAAAGGAAAAGGAGTGAGAGAGTTCCCTCCATTCACAGCACCAAGGTACCGGGGAGCATGTGTGCAGATAGCCCTCAGCACAGCTACACCCTGCAAACATATGCACAGTCATCGGTGCCACCCACACAAAAATGACACTGAGAGACACAGTTAGGGAAGCATCCATGTGCTGTACTTGTGCACACACACACATGCTCACAGGATCACCCATGCAGGAGCCTGGGGCACAGCTCAAGGGTTTTTGCTGGCACACTGAGCTGCTGCTAAAGGGCAGGTGCAGCTCTGCAGCCCCTTGCACTTCCATTGGGATTTCTGAAGCAGGTTTCAGCCTACACAGGGATTTTGGACCTGCAGGGACAGTGAGCCAAGTCCTTAGCCCTTCACTCATCCATATGCAGAAAATTCCTACGAGAGACAAGGGGACTTCAGGCTCTTTATAGTCATTTCGATGTGTGCCTACATAGTTAATTCCACATCAAAATCTCCCTTCAATATGTTAAACCTGGAAGGTATTCTTTTTACCATTAAAAGCCAGCATCTAAAACTGTAGTTGCCAAATAATTTTTGGTAGAGCCTCCTTTACAAAAATATCCTTAGCAATATTTGGTATCAGGTGGAACAAATCTCTGCCCATGAGTGAATCAGGCTTGAGGTGTCAATGGCTCCTCTCTCCTTTACACAGCAGCTGGAGTTTTCAAATAAAA